AAATGTAGTGAAGTTTATCCACATTAAAAAACCTAGTTTAAGTGTAAGCATCATGAATGCAACCTCAGCTTCCGCAAGGGGCACACGTTAACGCACATATCAGTTTACATACGCACCTAAATCCGTTTACACCGATTTCGTGAGGGCTAGGGTGCACAATGTTTGTCTGTGTCCTGTTGTCACTAAGTGAACAGAAATCAAGTCGTCGAGTTAATTTTTAAAAACGGCTAGCGTGGGCGCGGAAGTGACAAAACTCGAAAGGACACTCCAGGAGTGACAAATTCGAAGAGAAAGATTGTTCCTACGGCATTCCATTCGACTGTAATACGCAGTCAGTTTCAGCTGGTGACCCCTCAATTTTGTGTCACGGCTAAATTTCAGGAGGTGGTGGCTGGCGTGACCAGGATTTTTCAAAATCTGTTACATCAGTACGAGGTCGTCCCGTAGACGGCGATAACTTCCGCCAGACACACAAACATTTTCAGTCGCGGATGTTATGGCAGGTGGAGCAATCCATACCCATTTTTGGTTGCCCTTCGCTGTGCTGTATCCAGTGCAACCAGATCGCTTTTTAACCAAGTTTGCCAAGCCTGGATCGCGTACTCTACATGGGTCTCACATACGCATTGAGCGTTTGGGGGAAGCTGGAGGGAATGAAGCTCCAGAACGCCCTTCATAAGGGACCAACCTGTTGGTTAGCGGTTTTAGAGGCCTTCAAATACTGCGCCGAACAGCCGAGGTTGTCTTGCATCCCCACCCCAAAATCGCGCTCCTGTGAAGCCGTTTTCATCCTGTGGTCTCCAAGCTTATATACGTACGTGAGCGTGTAGCGTACATGTACAGATTTGCACTTGTCTGCGTTAAACAATTGTAGATTTCCCTTTGACTATTCAAAGGCGCGGTATAAGTCTCTTAACATCACGCCGTGCTCGTCCTGACAACCGATCGCTCGCCATGTCTTGATGTCATCGACAACAAACAGAAAATTCGACTCGATGACACGCGCGAGGTCTCTGACGACGACCAGGAATAGGCCCAGCCTTAACACCGATCCCTGAGGGACACCGCAGTTCACGTCAACAGGACTAGAAAATGAGCCCCTAACGCAAAACTCTAGCCAACGCTGAATGAGGCAATTCTCGATCCATTCAAAGACCGGGTCCCCAATTCCTTACGTGTGCAGGTTTTGGAGAAAGATTCGGTGATATAAGCGATTGAAGGTTTTATAAAAGTCGAGGGAGATGACATCAGTGCCGGTCCCACTGTCGACTATCTCAGTCTAACTACCATGCGAAATCAGTAGATTTGTAGTACATAACCGATGCTGACGGTGTCGGTGTTGCTCCGGTGCTATGATGTCAGACCTTTCGAAGTAGCCCATTACAATCTCAGCTATGATCGATTCCATCACCTTAGAGGTCACCGGGAGGAGAATCACTGGGCGATATTTGACGGTCTCCGAACGGCTACCACACTTGAAAATCGGTGTGATGATACCCTGCTTCCACATGTTGGGGACCTGCTGTTCATTCAGGTATCTTTAGAAAAATCGAACTAACGGCTCAGCTGTTTTCCTAGTTGCTACCTGAAGTGCTTTTGGGGGAATGTTGACAACTCCGAAGGAACTATGGGTGCGCAACAATATCAGCTTACTCAAAACGGTCGCTGAGCTAGAAGTGACGTGTGTGAATATTGGCGTCTGGGGGAATGAGACAGGTATGTCACAAATGCTGATGACATCGAAATATTGGAGCGTATTGGATGCGTAGAACCTTGGTTGCATCCTCGGCATCCACATCCATTTGCTGAGGTAAGTGAGGGAACACCATGCTTTACATCCAGGAGACTATTCACCTATCCCTACAGAAGCTGGTTGTTAGCGCAAAAGCTTTATACTAGTCTCTGCTGGTGTACTAATTTGTCCTCACGTACCAGTATGGCACCGTGAATAAAATGCCCTACATCATAGCCCCAGTTATAAGGGTTAGGGTGCACCCTATACACACGCTACGTCGCGTCTCTTCACGTCATGAGTTTCGGGGTCTACTCCTAATGATTGATAGTGCTCTTGTAGAACGAATGGGACTGTTTACAGATGAGGGTTGAATCAGATCTCTGAACTTGTCAGCAAACTCCGTCCATGCAATAGCAATGGAGCAATTGTCCGACGAAGCCCAAATGGCATCCTCAACAAGTTCTGTGGGTGTGTCGCGGTGTATGATTGTTCGGGAGAACTCACTATGTTCTTTTGAATATTCCGCAAAACGCATATAGTCATAAAGTATTGTTACATGAGCCCTCCATCCCAGAGGGCTCCGCATCCTTGGTTACTCGATCATGAGTTTTCATTCGTGAGCACTAAATCAAGCACAGATGGCTTATTTCCCGTTCTCAATCCGGTGGGTGAATTGACATGGCTAACAAGCGGAATACATTGCAAGTCTGCCTTGAATTGTTCGTTGGGAGAAGCCAGAACTCCCAAATCATGAACGTTGAAGTCGCCGAAGATGAGAATATGGCTGTATCGTCGTCGAACTACTTTTTCCAACACTAATGTCATGTCTGAGTCCATCATTAACCTATACGGTTCTATGCCGTTTATAGTAATGCATGCTCCAAAGGTTTACTACGGCCCGTCGTAATATTTGGACACGGAAGTGTTTGGAACGCCGGACCGGAGGAATATTTCATACGCGTTTATTTTCGCTTTTTGACGACATGTGGCTGCCATTAGGTATTCGTACTTGCCCTCGACATATTGCTCACATGTGATTGAAGCGCCGCTTGAGTTTCAAAGGTGCGCTTCAAGAGAAGTTGTACTGACACTTTCGTCATTCAATCGAGAAATCGCAGATATTAGCCATAGCTATTTCTGGCCACCTCATGCAGCACACTATGAAACATTGCACCCTCGTGCTTCAGGACATTCCGGAAAGCTCTGTCGTCGGAATCCATGTGAATATTTGAACCATCAAAAAATCTTTCGGGGTATCCGACACACCGCTTGGATTTCACTATATATACTTCAGGAATCATCTTAAGTGGTCCTTGTGCGGCTAGAATCCACAATCCGACTGTTACTAGTCCGTGGTGAAGTCCACTGAGCTACTGGCAAATTGGCTAGAGTCATAGTTCATTATTTTCTCGATACGTACAAAAAGAGACTCTGTCTACACATACTGTCACCATTACATTGATAGTGCCTTTACTGTTTACTCTATGCACATACGAACCCAAATTATCGTCACCCCACTGACGACTTTATTCCTCATGAGTACCTGTTCCATTTCTGTAGCTTGTACAGCTTTCGGTCACTGCGTATTACATGCATAGTAACGTGTCTGTTGTGAAACATAAATGCTGGTAAATTTTAATCATGCCTGATTTGGTGTGCGTCGATAAATTCAAGAATAAACTATCTATTATTTATTTATCTCTGGGGTGGACATTGGGGGACGATACACAACGGTCAAAAGCAAGTGTGTTGCTTCTTGATCGCAGACTGTACCAGAGCGAGTCTCTGAATAGCGTTTCCGGATCGTCCAGGGGTTCGCATTGCAGGTCATTACGGTTTTATAAAATTACCCCCACTGCCCTTACAGGTGCGATCGTTTCGAATAAAAGACATGCCGTGTATAGCGACCTCGGAGTCCCTAATTTCCCAATTCATCCAAGTTTCAGTTATGAATATGAGGTCACAGGCGTATGATGCATGACTTAACCCGCAGTTCAGCAAAGTTGCTCAGGAACCTTTGTGCATTGGTGTGCATGTAATAATGTTTCTATGTTTTTATCCATGGGTCATGGGATGTGCATTTTGAATGTGATTTTGTGCCAACCGGTGAAAGGTAGGCAACCAATCGATGTTTGGGTGGGGCGACTGAACTCATTTGTGTCAGATCCAAGGATCCCGAACTTACCTCTATGCTCCTCTCTTTATATGTAGTGTACAGTAACTAATAAAGCTGAAAACTACATTATATTATAAAGGAATTTGCCCTTACATCAGTCTACTGAACCGAGCATTATGTGTTGTCATATTTGTCCATAGCTTCGGTTGTGCACCGTAACGAAAGGACACAACAGTCGTCGTGAAGCGATTAGTGGAAAGTACCGTATGGTGAAGGCAACTGATTTGGAAATTTCTGATGGGTATTAATTGATTTTGTGAACGGAAGCGCTATGTTAGAGTATCAGACCTAAATGACTAAAGTTACTGAAGGTGCATTGATGGAATTTAAGAGCACGGATTTTGCAATGCACAGACACTAACTTTGGCCCCATCATAGTGTGTCTAGAGTATACTAGTGATCCAGTAGGCAACCATGGTTGGATTTTCTCTGGTTTGGTTGTCTACACTCGCTTGTAAGTACGGTGAAGATGGGACCATCACGTCAATATGGTCTAGATTGTCGTCTAGTCCAAGAAGATTATGAAGTAAGGTAATCTGGGTCAGCCGAGGTCTTCGGCCAAAGCCCATCGAGTCGAACGTTGGGTGTAGCATCTATCGGTTCACTCAAAGCTACTGATCTATGGTGGGTAGGACTAGTCCGTCTATGAGAACAAAACACTGCTTTTCCGTTCGTCTTAGATCGAATAACCTACTTCACCTGTGTCATGTTCCAACCAGACTAGCTCTGAGGCATTCGAGATGCATTACTGAAACTTACCGTCAGGGCTGCGGGCATTCGCGAGCACCGGATACGGACTCACTTGATACAGTGTAAATGCGCCTTTAGGAGTCCGTTAAGCAAAGAAGGACCATCCATCGGTGCCCTAAGTTGCCGCTGATACAACCACAGATACCTCATAAGTTATCCTGAGATAACAGCAGATGTGTATACCAACCGGTATATCCCAGATGATGGTTCGCTAATATGTTCGGTATTTACAGACTGTTATGCTTTAACTGCGACTATGCCCAAAGTAGAGCGAAAACTTGTACGTCTACCCCTCGTCCCCAACTATGATGATGGTTCATTGTTTTTGCTATATTTCAGGGAGGGTTGCCACCATGGCTTTTACGGAAGCACCCACATATCAGAATGCGTTCCAGTAGCCCTGGTAAGTTTTACCACAGATTGAAATCAGGCGTTTCCATAGCACCAGGACAGTTCCTATGGACAATTTCGTGCTAGATAACTTTCAAAGAGAAACGGAATAATTCCACAATTTTCTCTTAAATATTTAGACTGTAAAGTCGTCGTGCTGCTGTTCTGCTTAACATTCGTTGGCTTGCTCATACTCCAAGCTAAACAGTGAGGTAGCATTCATTTACGAACTGCCCGGTTGTGAAATTCGATCAGATGGCAATCTCTCTTTGGGATTACAAAATATCGTGAATGATCCAACAAAATGAACTCGGTTTCAACAGAGTTCATTCATGCATCTTCGAAATGTGGAGGTCAAACTAGAAGGGGCGCCTGGAGTGCCTAATAAGATTCATCGCCTTACATCGTCGCATCAGCCAACTTCAGCTGAGCTATTGTTACCTGTAAATAACTTCCGTGGCTGGGAAACAGCAGTCTGAACGTTTCGGTATGCCTCGATTTCGTAAGCTGGTGTCCCATACACATGGTCCCGTACAGAGCTGTGGCTTAAACCTAGGTGACTAGGTGGTGCATATACCATGGAAACAAGACATTTAAAGATCCCGGATTAATATTCAGGTAACTATACGTGTGCCCATGTTTGTAATCTTGCTTTCTTTATAATAAATGCAACACAATGGAGGGTTACTTACACGAGGAGACCATGTCATTAGAAGATTGCTAATAAAAAAGTTAAAGATTTGGATAAAAGATACGCCCTCATCCACCGTACGGAACTGTCTGCAACATCAACTAAACCATTGGGTTTGAAGTGCACGATGGATTTCTATCACACAATTATTGTGGAAGCTTAAGTCAAGGGAAGTTAAGAATATGCTTTTGGTAACCGTAAAGGCAGAATATTCTGTCCTATGTTTCAATAGTGCATGATGGGAGAAAAAGCATAACTTTACAACACTCACACGATGGAAAACGTACAATAAAAGTAAAAGCAAAATGTTTCAACGTGGAACGCGAGGTATCAGTGGTTAAACAATTGCACTGTAGTAAATTGTTCTGTAGCGTTTATCACTAAGATGAATGTCTAGGAGTCTCTCGAATGTCGAGATATCTGGTGCGTTCACCACATATGCTAGTAGTTCATTCCATTGGGAACAGATTCTAGGCTAGTAAAAATACTTCCTATAATCCAAACGTGTGTTGTGTTACTAGTTTCAGGTGATGGCTTTGACGTTGTTTGTAAGGGGCTAGGGTCACCAATAATGTACATGTGATCCGTTTTCAGTTATTATCCGGTATATGAGAACGAACTCTTCGCAATACCGTCGGTATTTTGTGAACACACCACGCAAACGAAGGCGCAGTTCGTAACTGATACCGGATAGTCCACGAGTTGCCTTAATGGCTCTTCTTTGGGGTACTTCAAAAGACGAATAACTCGTTTTAACCATGAGTGCCAGGCCTGAATCGCTTATTCAACGTGAGAACAAAGATATGTGTTAATCAACTGTGATCCCAGCCTTCGGTCAATTGACTCGTTCGCTACACTCGCTGGTTTCGAAAATTGGAGGGAATTGCCATGACTTACTTGAACGATGATACCTAAGTCTGCTTCACTAGTGACCTTTTGTAAAACCTGTTGTTCCAGAAGATATATATATATATATATCTATATATAACCGTATACCATTAGACATAGAGCCATCAGAAACCATGGAACGCAAAAGAAGGTACAGAAATAGTAAAAGAAAACACAACACATCAAAGTCCATGGTTTCGTCAGAGGGCGAGATACTACGCGGTTGCCCAGAAGATGTGTTGATGAGGCTGCTACGCACCGCCAGTAGGTGGCACTTTGCAGGATTCAGTGGGAGCTGCTTCCTTTCTGTCCATTCGTTAATCTGTTCCAGATCATTCTGGATATAGGCACGATCGGATGGTGAGAGAATTGCTCTCCATATTTTTGCATCAACCGCAACTCTGCATCAGGGAAAAAAGGTTTTCCGGGAGCTTATTTAAGTAAGCTAAAAAGAGTAACGGGCCGAGGAAGGATCCATGCGGTACACTACTAGAGACGCACAGGCTTGCAAATTGAGTTTCGGCTATACTTACCTGGTTCTGTTTGCAAGTAATCTTCCAAATAGTTGAGTAGGGAACCGTTGATACCATAGACAGCAAGCTTTTGGAGGCTAACGAATTAATTAACTCTTTCGAACGCCTTAGACAGAAATGTCTTGAACAGAGGTAACCAAATACTATTACATTCAAGTGAGTATAAGACAACACGGATCACTGAAGTAATTTGCCATTTAGTTTGTGACTGATTAAATTTTGTTCTGTCCAGAGACATGATAAATGAAAAATAGCCAGCGTACGGTAGTCCCGTTTACGAGCATGTGTGGTTTTGTACATCTACCTAGTTGTTGAGTAGTATACCTGGGTTCAAATCCGCTCAGGGATGGGCGTCCTCGCGGTACACTCAGCCTGCGTGCAATTGTTTTGCGGTCACACGGTAGCGAAGCGCCGTTATGGCGTACGGCTCACATGTTATTATTATTTATTATACGTTCAGACATTGCTCTGTGGATAAGTGACTAGCAGAATGTCGTATTTCTGACGCAGATATTTTGCAAAAACAGGCGTGAATGGATAGGACGATGTTAACAGGATGCGGTATTGGAACTCCGCTAGATTGAGCTTGCAATTTCAACGCATTAGGAAATATTTCAAGGGTGTTTGTGAGGAACGTAAGTATCGTAGAAGGCAGAAGTCACGATTAAACTCCACACGAAAATCTGCCTCGACGGGGAATCGAACCCCGGTCCACGAATTTCCGGTCCGTTGCTCTACCACTGAGCTACCGAGGGCTGACGATTAGGTGCGGAATTTAACACGTGACTTCTGCTTAGTGCGCGACGTATTGCCAATGAGCTCACAGTAACTGTCCTGGTGTTGCAGATCGGCTCACTCAATCGTCACTTCCCAGTGGACCGAAGTAACTGTCCATCCGAAGTCCAAAGGGCGATGGTAGATTATTTGAAGGGTGTTTGTGAGGAACGTAAGTATCGTAGAAGGCAGAAGTCACGATTAAACTCCACACGAAAATCTGCCTCGACGGGGAATCGAACCCCGGTCCACGAATTTCCGGTCCGTTGCTCTACCACTGAGCTACCGAGGGCTGACGATTAGGTGCGGAATTTAACACGTGACTTCTGCTTAGTGCGCGACGTATTGCCAATGAGCTCACAGTAACTGTCCTGGTGTTGCAGATCGGCTCACTCACTCGTCACTTCCCAGTGGACCGAAGTAACTGTCCATCCGAAGTCCAAAGGGCGATGGTAGATTACTTGAAGGGTGTTTGTGAGGAACGTAAGTATCGTAGAAGGCAGAAGTCACGATTAAACTCCACACGAAAATCTGCCTCGACGGTGGAATTATTTTGCGGTGCAAAACAGATCACGTACCAGCAGAGGGCCCAGTAAGGCCTTAGTATTGCAGAATGTAGTGCGAAGTAAGACCTGAAACATGACATAGAACGAGATGCTGCGGATTTTGGTGAACATTTCGTTCACCTAAAGTGACGATGTGAGGACACGAATAGATGCTAATTTGAGGTATTTCAAAAACAGTGGAATAACAATGCAACAGTGATATAATGCCGATTAAAAGGCAAAGGTTTGACAAGTCCGGTAGGATGGCTTGCACGTGATGTATATTGCGCGAAGAGATGAAACTTTACCAACAAAGTCAGTTCTACCCATCTGTGAACCGATCGTAATAGTCACCTTAACACACATATCAATTCGCCTACCCGAATATCTTGGTGAGTTGGTGAGCACAGTGTTTGTTTGTGTGTTGTGTCCACCCGTTGAACGGGAGTCATGTCACCGAATGCAAATGGCGTGATGCATCGAAGAGTCGCAAATGATAAATGGATAGGTTTGCCAGAAAATGTCAACTTGTGCAAATGTTCCATGGCTGACAAATCCGAAGGGACAAAATTCCGACGGCATACAAATCAGCCTTGTTGTATGGTCAGCTTCAGTTAGTGCCCCGTTAGTTTGATGTTATGGCTAAGCATCAGAAGATGGTGGTAAACGTAGCCGCAGTGTTTTACTAACCGAGGAGGAAAGGATTAAGTCATCCCGTAGACGATGATATCTGTTACGTTACCCTCCTAGGGTTTTCAGTCGTAGTTGGTATGACAGATGGAACAAACTCTTACCGTTGTTGATTACGCTTCATTGTGGGGGTCTGCAGTGCAACCAGATCGCACACCACATGGGTCTCGCATATGCGTCATGCAATTGTGGGTTTTGACACTGTCACAGCTTGCTTCCAAAAAGGGAGCTCATTCTGAATGACTACGCCAAGGAGCGTGGATCTTCACTTTGGACACAAAGCTGTGCCCATTGCGTAAAACGTTGCTAGTAACGACCCAGTTTCCACATAAGAAAAGCACACCTTAGCATTTTCTGTCGTTCATCGACAGACAAAAGGGTGTGGCACAAGTTATGACATTGCCTGTGAAGGTGTGTATTTTGTTCGATGAATTTGTAGTCACATGATGGACCACCGGGATCACCTCATCCAGGTCAATTCAACATGTTTGCTCCTTTCGGAGCGGGAGATAATAAGCAGTAAGTAGCAAATAGCAACGTAGACAAAGGGGCTCCTAGAAGTACACGGAAATTCTCAGCAAGTGACGCGTAGTCCCCCACTTAGCCTGCGACGGTAAACTAAGTCTGGTGTAAATACATTAATTCGTGCCGCAAAATAATTAGGTGTTAAAGTGATAAATTGAAACGACCATAATTTCCAATTTAACCGTAATTCTGTTAGAAACACGACGTATTTGCCTTTCTGATGGGAGCAGAGCTCATACGGAGTGGTAGTAACAAAGCATTTCTTCTTGTCCTCACATCCCACGGTACTGTTAATGTCCGGCGGAGGTTTACAGATTTACTCAAATGTAGTCTGAGGCCCAGACCATACAAAGGTGCTGATTCCGAG